CTCTTTGAACCGTGCAGGACACGTTTGGCTGATCCTCTGGGGCACAGGGTGGGACTCCTGGGAATGGTCCTGTGCAGGGCTGAGGGTTGGACTGGCTGATCCCTGTGGGTCCCTTCCAGCTCAGCACATTCCGTGACTCTGTGACTCATTGGAGCGTGACCCAGTTTGATGTGGGATCCCAGAGTCCTGGAACAGTTTGGAGTGGAAGGGACCTTCAGGACCATCTTGTTCCCTCGAGGTTCACAGCCTGAATGAGCTTAAAAAACCAAAGCCAGTTGCAAAAAATGTACTTTTTTGCCAGTTTTTTATCACCTGATGAGATGTGCTGGCTCAGCATTCATTGGGGGATGGAAAATTCTGACAGTAAAAGGCAAATCTTGTGATGTGCTTGAGGACTTGGTTCAGGGAGTGTTTGGACAACGCTCTCAGGGACAGGGTGGGATTGTTGGGGTGTCCCGGGCAGGGCCAGGAGTTGGGCTGGATGATCCTTGTGGGTCCCTTCCAGCTCAGCACATGCTGTGATTAATGAGTTTCTGCAAGTCTGTTTTTAAATTGTTGGACCGTTTTCTCCAGGAAGAACAAGGTGTTGAGGCCCTGATGCCCCACAGCTCCCTGGGGTTGGCAGAGCAGGGGCTGCAGATCTGCATCTGTTGGGGTGTCCTAGGAACGTGGGGGGAAACCCAAAGGTTCTTTGCTGGGAAAACCCTAAAATTTCTGTGTGCAGACACAGAAAGCTGCTGGTTCCAAACCACACCGAGTTCTGTAGAACATGCTCATGACTTCAGCTTGGCAGGTGGGGATAATCCATGGGGAGTGACAGGACAAGTGGGAATGGCTTCCCACTGCCACAGGGCAGGGATAGATGGGATATTGGGAAGGAATTCTTGGCTGTGATGGTGGGGAGACGCTGGCCCAGGTTGGGCAGAGAAGCTGTGGCTGCCCCTGGATCCCTGGAAGTGTCCAAGGCCAGGCTGGAGCAAGCTGGGCTAGTGGAAGGTGTCCCTGCCCATGGCAGGGCCTGGAATCAGCAGGATTGACAGTCCCAACTCAAACCATTCCAGGATTCTGGAGCCCCTCTGCTCTGGAGCCAGGCTGGGAGAGCTGGGGGGGTTCTCCTGGAGAAGAGAAGGCTCCAGGGAGAGCTGAGAGCCCCTGGCAGGGCCTGAAGGGGCTCCAGGAGAGCTGGAGAGGGACAAGGGATGAGGGGGAATGGCTTCCCACTGGAAAAGTGAAGATTTAGATTGGATATTGGAAAGACATCCTTCCCTGCGAGGGTGGTAAGAAACTGGAATAAATTTCCCAGAGAAGCTGTGACTGCCCCTGGATCCCTGGAAGTGTCCAAGGCCAGGTTGGATGGGGTTTGGAGCAACCTGGGATGGTGGAAGGTGTCCTTGCCCATGGCAGGGGGTGGAATGAGATGGTCTGGAAGGTCCCTTCCAACCCAACCCATTCCATAACTCTTCCCTGGACCTGGAGCTCGTCGGGCTGAGGGACCACAGGAGCTTTCCGGTGTTCCCTGAGTCTATCCCAGCAGTCGTGTTGCCTGGAAAGCTGCCTCCTTGCCCTGAGCTCCCGTGTTCCTAAACACAGAGCTGAACACCCCAGTGGGTTGTAAACCCGTGTTTGTTTTCCTTTCAAGTGGGATTTTCTCCGAGGTGGGACCGTGAGGGGAGGCCGGGCCCGACCACGAGGCTCCTCAGTTCCCCCCGCCTTTGTTGCCCTCACAGGGTTGTTTCAAGTGATGCCAAACTTGCTGCGTGAAGTGGCTGCCAGGAGAGGGCTTTGCAGGAGTCAGGGAGCGTTCCATGATCTCCCAACACCGCTCCTGTGGTCATCACCCCTTTTTTCTCTGGGCACAGCTCCCCCTCCAGCTCCCCCACACACACCAGTGCCCTCCATCCCACACTGGGGCCTGAGGGGAGCCCTCACCTTGGGGAGGTTGCTTCAGTTCTTCCAGGTCAGCCAAATTTGTCCCTGGATTTTCTTCCTCGCTGCAGACAGGGACATCTTCTATCACTTCTGAGAGCTTTAGGGCGTTATCTTTCCTTCTGACTCTCTTTTTTGTTTTTGGACAGTGAGCTGGAAAACGTGTGTCTTCCAGCCTTTCCCACTGATTAATGGAGTTGTTCCTCCCGGAGTTTCCAGTGAGCTTTAAATCTGTTCTCTTTAAATCCGCTTCTCTTTCCAGCTCGTGATCCCTGATTCTATATTTGGGCAAAATCTGCCTGAGACTTTACATGTTTCAGGACAGGGAGGTTTTTCTGTGTCCAGAGTGAGCACGTGGGGGACAGGGGGTGGCTCTGGGGGGTGACACCGGCCCTGTCACTGCGCTCAGTTGTGTCTTTAGGGTTTTGAGCAGCGTCCTGACCTACAATAAATCCTCGTGTTGGAGTTCTGACCATTAATTTGTTGGAATCCAAGAAGTTTTCCCTCAGCCCGAGCCGCTGATGCTTCATTACCATCAGACACAACACAGTAAATATTGGATGAGGAGCTGCTGGCGTCCTGCTCTGACAGTGGTGTTGATTTGCTTCATCTCCTCTCGCTCTCCCAGCAGCTCCTGGGGAATCTTAGAGACACTTCAGGTATCTCTGGAGCACCCAAAGTCCTTGTTCGTCATGGAGAGCCTGGAGAGGGGCATTAGGAGGAGAGATACCCTTATCACCCCCCCTGCCCTGGCCCTGGGTGACACTGCTGCAGGATAAAAGCTGCTGGTCATTAGGCCCTGCATTTATTATCACTCCAGAGATAACACAGGAGGGCCAAGGGCAGGATTTTTTTCCGTGTTGTGCAGTTTAAACCCATGTTTTCCTTTCTCCCCTTCTTTCCAGTCCTACTGCTCCGACCCGAGCCTGGTGTTAGACTTGAAGAACCTCATCGTCCTCTTTGCTGACACACTCCAGGTACACAGTGGGTGGGGACCACTCCTTCTCTCACTCCATGGTCCTGCTGCTCAGAGATGTGCCCACCACAGGGTTCAACAACTGGTGGGGACTGGATGTGGTGGCCTGGCTTCTTTTTTGGACTGTCAGTGCATGCACTGTGGCACCTGATGGACAACCTGATTTGCCCAGTGCCTGAGAGTGGCCAAGGACCAAACCTTTGATAGTCCTTGGTCCTACCCTTGGTAAATCAACCCCTAAATCCCTCCACCAGCACCATTCACCTCTGGGGTGGGGATAGAGGAGGGTTTGCCCACATGCTCCCTGTTGAATAGAGAAAATAAATCTTCACCTGCCTGTTGGTGGCTTTTTTTCCCCCTGAAGTTGCTCTCTTCCCTCATCCCAGGGCTATGGCTTCCCAGTGAACCAGCTCTTTGACATGCTGTTGGAGATCCAGGACCAGTACAGTGAAACCCTCCTGAAGAAATGGTCAGGAGTTTTCAGGTAAGAGGCTCTTCCAGCAAACCCAGGAGATGCCCCTCACAAAGGCATTTTGGCCCCTAAATAAAATCTTTTGAGGGATTAATCAGAGAATCACAAATGTTTTGGGTTGGAAGGGGTAAAGCTCATCTTGTTCCAACCCCTGCCACGGGCAGGGACACCTTCCACCATCCCAGGTTGCTCCAAGCCCCATCCAGCCTGGCCTTGGACGCTTCCAGGGATGGGGAAAGCACCATAATTGCGAGTTCATGTTTAAATTTTGGGCAGCAGTAAGGTTCAGTGAGATCCTGGGCTTTTCCTGGAGCAGGGAGAGCCAGTTTAAATAAAGTTGTGGGGATCCTGCGTGTGCTGGACAAGGTCATGGTTTCATTATGGAGCTCACATGGAGACTCAGGAGATGGAAGGATGCAAAAATCTGGGGTTACAGTAAAGTTAGTGTGGAAAATGGACATGGAGCTGCTGGAGAGAGTCCAGAGGAGGTGCTGGAGGTGCTGCCAGGGCTGGAGCCCCTCTGCTCTGGAGCCAGGCTGGGAGAGCTGGGGGGGTTCCCCTGGACAAGAGAAGGCTCCAGGGAGAGCTGAGAGCCCCTGGCAGGGCCTGAAGGGGCTCCAGGAGAGCTGGAGAGGGACTGGGGACAAGGCATGGAGGGACAGCACACAGGGAATGGCTTCCCAGTGCCAGAGGGCAGAGGTGGATGGGATATTGGGAAGGAATTCCTGGCTGTGGGGGTGTTGAGGCCCTGTGCCAGGTTGGGCAGAGAAGCTGTGGCTGCCCCTGGATCCCTGGAAGTTCCAAGGCCAGTTTGAAGCAACCTGGGCTAGTGGAAGGTGTCCCTGCCCATGGCAGGGGGTGGCACTGGATGATCTTTAAGGTCCCTTCAACCCAAACCATTCCATGTTTCCATGATATTGTGCTCCATCACCAAGCCGTGGGTGTCTCGGGACATCAGTGGCACATCCCTGTGCTGCTCCTGTGGGTTTGTGGGATCCCATCTTGGACTGGCACCTCCTCCTGGGAGCTTCCTGACCCGGCAGAGCTGTGGGTCCTCTCCTGCCAGAGCTTTCTTCCTGACTTTTCTTTCCTTTTCCTAGAAATATACTTGACTCAGACAACTACAGCCCCATCCCGGTGTCAAATGAAGAACTTTATAAGAAAATAGTTGGACAGTTCCCATTCCAGGACGCTGAACTTGAAAAGGTGAGTCCTGGAATGAGTCTTGGAATGGGGAAAACGGCCTCGTGTGGCCGCTGGTGTGGGAAAACCCCACACCCTCAGCAGGGACGTGGAGAACTGCAAATGGGAGCATCAAAAATCACCCAAATCCACCTTCCCACACCAAATAAACAGCAAGAAAAGAAAGCAGGACCAGGGAACGGAGCAAATATCCCTTCCATGTGTTGCATTTCTCCAGGTGTGGATGAGGAAAACCTCGTTGGTTTTGTTTTCATATCAGGGTGTGCACTCAGCTGAGCAGTCCTTGCAACGCACAGGAGACTAAAAATATCCACTTCCCTGGTATTATTCCCATTTTATGAACCATGTTCTTGACCTTTATTTGTTTTAATCTCATATTTAAAGAAAAAGAGCCCAACAGGGTGGTGTATCTTGGCTTTTCTATGAGTGCCTGCTCCCAAAACTGATGTGTGTCCAAGTCTGATGGAGCCAGTGTCCCTTAAATCCTGCTTGGCCTTCTGGCACCCAGGAAACTTCATCCCTGGGGAACTTCATTAGGAATTGGAGGGGGTTTGATCCAGATTTCAGGAAGTCTTTGTCCTTCCCCCAAAATTAAGTCATGGGGTCCAGGGTCTTACTGTGTCACTGCACCTCCCCCCGCTGTGGGGAAGAGCTGGATGGGAAATTTGGGGTAGGAAAACCTGTTTCCTGTTGGGTTTTGGTGTTTTAAGCAGATTCTCACCTCAGGCAGCACCTGGGGGAGATAACCAAGCAAAACACCTCGTGCATGGGGGAAGAAGAGCATCAGGGAGTTCTCCCAGGGGGTGTTTTCCTGTGAGGGAGGGATTTGGGAGAGGGAATGAGGGTCCTGTTTTCTGCCTGCTCCCTCCGAGCTGCAAATCTCCTTCCAGGCTCCAAACCCCTCCTGCACTCCATTTGTAAGGGATTCTCTGACCTTTCACTCGGCTGAAGTGTTTATCCAACATCCCAGAAATGCCCTGTTGTCTCCTTGCTGGACGTGGCTAAATCCCAGGATCGATCCGACCACTCGAATATGCTGCTGGAAAAGCAGTCGTTTGTCTCCTGGTGGATGGCTGCTCTTGCATGGAATTCTCTCCTGTGTTTTTTTACAGCAACCCTTTCCAAAGAAGTTCCCCTTCTCCGAGTTTGTGCCTAAAGTTTACAATCAGATCAAGGAATTCATCTACGCCTGCCTGAAGTTCTCGGAGGACCTTCACCTGAGGTAGGACATTCACACCCGGGGTTCTTTGCACTCAGAGAGCTCAGAGGTTTAAAATATAAATTCTTTTCCTCAACTTTTCCTGTTGTTCAGCTGTTTGGATAAACCCTGGCCGGGCTGGAAGTGGCTGGTGGCCTCCTTGGAGCGGTGGCATCTTCCAAGGGTTGGTCATGTCTTCAAAACTACCTCGTGGAGGGGAAGGTCATGGAATGGTTTGGGTTGGGAAGGAGCTTAAAAGTCATTCAGTGCCACCCCCTGCCATGGTGGGTGGGCGTTTGGGCAACCTTCCACTAGCCCAGGTTGCTCCAAGTCCCTTCCAACCTGGCCTTGGACACTTCCAGGGAAAACAGCCCAGGACAACCCCAGCTGTAGAAAAACTGAGGGAGCCGTTTCCTCCGAAAAGCTTCTGGAGTTGTGGGAAATAAATGAACCTGGTTGTCTCAAGAAAGGTGGTGGTGTCCACTCCTCGTTGGGTCAGGGCCTCCTAGAACATCTCTGACCTCCCCTTGGCCCTCCCCCAGACTGTGAATCCCGTGATTCCAGGGATGTGTTGTCAGGAAGGCTCTGGGGGGGGAGGTTTGGATTTTTGTGCCTTAATGAGTTTCGGCTCCTGGTTTCGGGGCTTTGTTTTTCTTGCTTCTCCTGGGAGTTTACATACAAATAACGCGATTTTTTTTGTTGTTTTTTAAAAGCCTGCAAAATATTCCACGTGTTTACCCTCCTCTCTCCCCATCCCAAGGTGCTTTGATGCTGGTTTTATCCCTGTGTACGTGTGTGAGGTTGAAAACCAACTGTATTTGCCAGAAACTGCGAGTTGGTGCTTTTTTTTTCTTGCACTCGGAATCGTTTCCAGCTTGGTAGAGGCAGAAAAATTGACACCAAGGGTTTTACGGGATGCAGGGATGCTTCTTCCCTTCAGGATTTTCACTGGAAGGAAGGATCCTTCTTCTCTTCCATGTGCAGAGCTCTACTAGCAAGAGGTGGGAGTTGTAGGAGGAGGGTTTCATATCCTGGCCATGACCTGACACGGAGCTGCTGGAGAGAGTCCAGAGGAGGCCCCAGAAATGCTCCTGGGGCTGGAGCCCCTCTGCTCTGGAGCCAGGCTGGGAGAGCTGGGGGCGTTCCCCTGGAGAAGAGAAGGCTCCAGGGAGAGCTGAGAGCCCCTGGCAGGGCCTGAAGGGGCTCCAGGAGAGCTGGAGAGGGACTGGGGACAAGGCATGGAGGGACAGCACACAGGGAATGGCTTCCCGGTGGGGCTGGCACAGAGCAGTAGGAAATGAGGGGCTAAGTCATGGAATTACAGATTTATTTAGGTTGGAAAAGCTTCTGAGATCGAGTCCAGCCATTCCCAGCACTGCCAAGGCCACTGCTGACCATGTCCCCAAGTGCCACATCCACAG